GGGGGGGGGGGGGGGGGGGGGGGGGGAGGAGAGGGAACTTGCATAGTCCAACGCCCATATCCGACATGTTTTTTTTTTCTTTTTTCTTTTCTTGTTCAAAGTAGGTAGGTGCCCCGGGTTGGTGGTGATGAGAAGAAAGGCAAAGGCAGGGCGCAGACACCCAGCGATGCCATCCAGACAATGGAGAGTGATGTAATATATCAAGCAGATAGGGGAGGGTCTGGATAGTGCAGACGTAGTACTGTAATGGGGATTGTAATTTTGATATCGCCATCTTCTCTTCTTTCTTCCTCTCCTCTCCTTTCTTTTCTTTTTCCTCTTCCTTTTTTCCTCCCCTTTCTTCTCGAAAAGCACATGGAAGAAAGAACAGTACCTAGACCCCCCCCCCCCCATCCTTCATTGTCATATCGCCTAACTCCGTACATCTGTTGAGTCTTGACTGAGAAGATAGGTTTATAGAGGAAGGAAAACACCAAGCCCTCACATAAAGTGTTGCTACCTCTCTTGGGCCACCAAGGGCGTGTAGCAGAGTATAGGTTCCGTGGTCTAGTTGGTTATGGCATCTCGTTAACAGTCGTTCTTCCGGAACACTGTCATCCGAGAAGGTCCCCGGTTCGATCCCGGGCGGAACCACATTTTTTTGCAGTGCATTCTTTGTATTCCCGTCTCTGTCACTGTGATTCTTCTTGTTCGTCTATCCCCCCCTTTTTTTCTCTCTTTCATATTCATATGTTCTTTTTCATATTTCGGTCTTTTTTTTTTTTCAGACTTTCCGTTACATCTCTTCTTCTTTCTTCATCCTACATGCTTGTTGACATCTTCCTTGACATATACTATATAGACGTCAGAAGTGACCAGAGGTCAAGACATATACATCTACATGTAGTTCCCTCCTTCAACTCTTTGAACTGCGTATAAATCATTTAAACCTCCATGTGCAAGAGACATCCTTCATGTTATTAAACACCAACAACCCCCCCCCAGGCTAATCCGCCTTCCTTACCTCCTTGGCCACGGCATTGCACAGCACCACCTTGACCCCCGCCCCGGTGAGTACGTGGATCCAGAGTCTCTGCGTATCGCTCAGACGATCATTCATGCTCTTGACCTCGGCCATCATGACCTCCCCTACCATCCTGTCTATTTGCTGTCCATCTCCATCCTCGGCACCGTCGACGGCGGCCCTCCGCCACAGGATCAGGTCCGGGATCCCCCCGCCTCGCTGCCCGTACTCCTGCGCCATGACCTTGCATATGGCGGCCAGGGCCTCTCCGTCGAAGCAGGCCACCAGCTCGGCCACGTCGTCGACGTCAAAGTCCCAGTCGAGCCCGACCACGTTTGTCCGCCGCGGGTGCTCCCTCGCCCACACCTCGCGCACCAGCCGCTCCCCCTCGCCGTTGGCGATCTGCACGAGCCGGTGGTTGATCTCCGACGCCCGCGACGGGTAGAAGGCGTCGGTGTGCAGATCCAGCGGGCATGTCTGGTACGCCGTCTGGAACACGTTGGGTATGTACAGGAACAGGACGTCGTAGAGCAGGTACGCAAACAGGGTGCGGACGATGCCCCCCTCCGCGTGGTAGCCCTTCCACCCCCGGGACCGGAAGTGGCTCAGGCACATTTCTTCGACGGTGCACTCGCCGTCACCCGGGGCGGCCTCGTCGGATGCTGCTGCCGCTTCGTCGACCCATGCCGTCCTGGTCGAGGCGGTCTGCCGTCCTGGCTTGGGCGTCACGTCCCGTCCGACTATCTGGATGCCCTCTACCGTCACCTCGGCTGGGTCTGTCAGCCGTACATGGCCAAAATCGTGCTGTAGCCTCTTGGGAATCCTGAGCTTCCTCTCCAGCTTGACCAGTCGTTTCTGCAAGTCGTGGTGGTAGATGAGGTGGCAGTCCGCATCTTGCAGCCCGGCCTCGCACGTCTCGATCGCCTTTTTTTTCCAGTGCTTCTTCTGAATCTCCGAGTCCGATGATGCCGGGTCCTCGTCCAGGGCTGCCATGTAGTGTTCTTCCAGCAGGGCCTTGCGTTGGTACCAGGCCCCGCGGCGGGCAGGGTGGAAGAATCTCTGACCCAGGAGCTCTACCAGCAGACCGTACTCTCTCCTGTGGTCTTTCCATCGGGCAAGGACGGCCAGGACCTTGTGTACAATGCGCGTGTACGAATGCGCGGGGATGAATCTCCTCAGGTAGGCGCCCTCGCCCATCTCGTACACTTGGCCCCCTTCTTTTGCCTGCTCTTCTGCAATCAGCTGCTTCCACCGAGGGTAGACGGTCTCGAAGATGCTGAATATCCTCTTTTGGGCCTCGGCTACGGGAACCTCTGACGTTTCCGAGATGCGGTCCACCTCTGACCCGAGTCTGACGGCGGCTTCAAACTCGACGAGGTGCGCGCGCGACGCGAATATGGTCGACGACCGGCACACAATGTACTCTGGGAAGTTCCTCCTGGATATCTTGGCGAGGATCAGCGTCGTCAGAGACTTCTCCGTCCACATTGTTGACCGGTAAAACACCAGGTGAACTCGCTCAAAGAGCTTGAAAGGCCCAGGCGATAGCCTGACGCAGGGCCCCAGTATGGCCACGACTTTCTGTAGGAAATGCTGCTCCCGGTTGAATCCTTGCCCCTTGTCCGGCAAGTCCCGGCTCTCACCATCCTCCGATTGGAGACTGTTCTGCCTGCTGAGGCCTAGTGACATTAGACCAGTCTGCGTCTGGCTCATCCGGGCCAGTGACTTGACCAGCTCAGCCTTGTTCTTTCCACGGACTTTGGCCTGCCTGGCCAAGGACCTGAGCTCGTCGAGGCTCAGAAGCGAGGCAGTCTCCTCTACCGAGTTGAAATACCTCTCTGAGCTGTCGGCAAAGGTGAACTTGAACTCGTCATCTCCGAGAGCCATCTCCGGCAGATCCATACCCGGCAACGACAGCGGCTCCTCACCGACGACAGAGCCTTTTTCCGGCGAGAGCGCCCGAGGCTCTTGCAATGCCTGGATGGCCCTTTCGGGGTCCGAGACATCGGTATAGTGGCCTAACCTGCTGATCCTATGCCAACAGTCCGTTTTACGAAGAAATAGTCGCACGTACCTGTTTCCGCGTAAGCATCAGCCTAATATTGGACTGGGATATTCCGAGATAGTACATGAATTGAGTCTCATAATCCAGCTGCTTCCAGTGGTCAAACACTTTTTTCTCTTGCTCGTCAAATAGGTGAGACTCTTCCTCGAGCACGGTGTCTAGGGCAAGGTTGAAGGCGTCGACATATATGGATTTGCGTCCCCTCACCCATTTCGGACGTAATTCTGTACCGGGGTCATCCGACTTTTCACCTTGGGATAACTTGAACTTCTCATATTCTTCCGCGGCTTCATCTTCTGACTGCGTTGCTGGCAAGGCATTTTCGATCTCCGTATTCCTTTGATCGCCCATTTCCGGTATAGTCTCGAAGTTTTTTTCATATTCATCATAATCACCATCATCTGATGCAGAGTCGGCTATCTCATCAATCTTGAAACGTTTGGCCGGTCTTTGAGGTGCCTCCTCGGTGGGCGGGGTCTGCTTCTGTGAAGATGCATCGTGTGTCCGCGGGTGCCTGGTGACAAATGCATCCATTTCGAGGGACAATTGGCACCCAGGAGAGGATATTGACGTATATTCGGGGCGGAGAGTATTCCATAAGGGAAATTGGAGCACTCTGTCGCACCGTTATAGCAGACACACACAGAAAGAAAAGAAAAAAAAAGACCCGACAAGACGCGTCCAGGGTGGGTGAAGATTGTACGAGAGAAGTCTGCGAAACACGCACGAAATCAGCTGACCGGGTCTTAATGGACCGCCAACCACCGACCACCGCCCGAGATTGACCCGGCGCGTGCTTCCCTTCTCCCCCCCCCCCCTCCAAGAGCTTAGCTTTCCTTCCGTCAGCGCGCCTGTTGATGTATACTCCACCGATTACGGCTTCACACGCAGGGAGAAAAAAACAATAATGGCAGACGAAGCCTACCACGAGCCGACGACTGAGGTGGTGCCGCTCACAGACGGCGACAGTGCAGCTCCTGGCGACACGTTGATGGCCGATGCGCCGTCGGCCGCCGACCAGCCTGCGGTATGTCAAGACCGGCCAACACATCGAACGATGGAGGCGCCGAACTGACCATTGATGAATGCTATTGCACAGTCCTCTCCCGCCCCCGCTGTGCAAGGATCCAGCCCGGCACCAGCCCGCACAGGAACACCAGCCCAAGGCTCCAGGGCAGCTTCAGCGCATCCTGACCCGGGTCCGTCGATCCCCTCCGAAGCCCCCCCCCACGGGGACTCTACACGCCGCTATCTAAATTCGAAGGTTACCGGTGTCTTGCTCGAGGGCATGAAGCAGATTGCCAAGGACAAGTGCGTGAAGAAGTCCCCCCCCCCGCCCAAGGACCGGACGTCAACGTGCATGCATGGCTGACAAGCAAGTGTAATGAACAGGCCCAACGATCCCTTGAGAGTGCTAGGAGAATACTTGATTCAAAAATCAAAGGAGTTGGAAGAGACAAGCGCATGATACACACATACCCACACACACACACACATATGTACTATAAAAACAAAGTTGGGCAAAAATTTACAATCTCGGGGGTTTCCAAAAATCGGATTTGTTTGCATTGGGAAGGCGTTGTGGATGGCTACAACTAGTATCTAACTCGAGACGAATAATACTTACCAAACAAACACTCAAGAAACACGAAGATGACCAGACATGGTCAATGGAGAACAGACGTCATTGTTGGTGAGAGAGTCGGTGGCTCTGGCCTGGCTTTTGGATTGGTAGTTCATCTTTTTACTTCTTTTGAATTTTGGAACAGGAAAAAAGTAGAAGAGGCTACCTAGTTCGGTCCTTTCTCTTCTCACTAGGAGAGACAGTAGAAAAAAAAAAGGAACCAGCGCATATTGGGCATTATTGGCTCGAAATGCAAAGTTTTCCTATTCGTCTGTAGCATAGGCTTCTTATTTTATTTTCGCCGAAAAACTCCAGTGAACCAGGGGAGGGGGAATCTATATCGCCCGTCCCATCCTTCTTCCACCTTTTTACAACAATCCCGGCAGCGTCATGACAGTCGTTCGGGTCTACCCTTCTTAAGCGACGAGGGTGCTGGCGGTGGCCGACTCGTACTTGTAGGTGGGGGGGAGGACACCGACGGACTTGTAGTAGCGGGCGAGACGGTGGATACGCGACTCGATGAGAATGAGGCGGAACTTGGAGTCTTTGTCCTTGCGGTTGCGCTCGAGGTGCTTGCGGACAGAGACAGCCTTTTGGCGTACACAAATCAGTCAGTTGTCTGTCCAGCGAGAAACACATGCAAGGTGAGAGACATACCTTCTTGATGAGCATGTACAGGTCCTCAGGAACTTCAGGGGCGAGGCCTGTGGTAGATCACTCTGTCAGTCTTGAACCGCGCAGAGGCATTGTATATATAATAGTTTTCCTCCACACGTCACACATCAATTGTGTGTTTTTCCCGTGTATGTTCGGCTTGCGATTTTGTTCTTCTTTCTTCCCGTCTATCTAAGGGGAAATCGTTTCATGGGTCCGTACCGTGAGCCTTGAGGATACGCAGAATGCGGTTACCTATTATTCTTCAAAGTCAGCATTTCATTTTCTGGTCGTTCGTGGACCTCCATCGTCTCCTCTCCCCGAGTTCAGACGTACCGGTCACAATCTTGACCTGGGCAACACCGTGGGAGTCACGGAGGATGACACCGATCTGCGAAGGGCTGGCACCCTTCCTGGCGAGCTTGCAGATCTGGTCGACAACCTGGTCGGGGGTGGTCTTGAGCCAGGCGGGAGCCGAGCGAGAGTAGGGGAGGGCCGAGGCCGAGATACCCTTTCCGTTGCTGTGAAGTCTGCCCATTTTGTCGGTTTTGTGCGGCTGTTTTGATTGCTGCTGGGGTTAGAAGGAGGTGGTTGTCGATGTCGAGAAAAAAGGTCAGGTCGGATAAGTTGTGGAGCGGGAAATTTTTCATAATTGTTAGGGCAGAGCAGCCGTGGGTGTGTGCCGTTGTGCGTGCGCTGTGGTGGGGATACGCACGTGACCTCGAAAAGAGGAAACGGTACGGAGTGCTGAGACCCACATCCCCAATACGGCTCTAGCTCCAAGTCTCTCCTCAAGTTTTTTTTTTTTTTCATGCTCCTTCCTCTCTTCCTTTCTTCTTCTGTATCATTATCCCCAACGACGCGTCGTCGATATGCGCGACATACTGACTATAACCAGCATCACGGTCAAACATTGTCTAGGTGACTCTTGTACTAAGGTAAGTTGTATCGACAGACCCCTTCAGCACAGTCCTGAGCGACAGCAAAATAGTATCATGGCCCGACTTTGCATGATGATAGAACACTTTACTTATTTCTGGTACCTCTTATGTTAGAGTCTTCTCTTCGGATGGACTCAATGAATGAACTGGACTTCTGATAGTTTGCCATGACTGTCTACTTGCTAGTCGCCAGAGCTGCTGCTATGGACCCCTTTGCGATTCCAATGCTAACATGAAGATTGGTTAGCAGATTCTCCCCATGATTGTATGAAGGGGGACCCCAGCGAAACGATATAGCAGCTCTCTACGCATTAGAGCAACATATTGATAGTAATGAATATATTTAAACAACACAATGCGTGCCATGAAAATTGTTAGCTGCTTGGCGGTGACAAAATAGCAAATGACAATACATGTTTGATACTGCTAGGTTTTCGTTGTTATACACGACCAGGCCCCCTTCTCAACGTAGACACTCCCAGGCAGATTTCGACTCCATAAGTACCTGACCCATTCAAAACGAAAATCAAGTTGTGAGAAATAAGAGCAAGTCTGCTTTTTCCAGCTGTAGCTTCCCGTTTGAATCCTGCCGTTTCTGCTCTCCCCGTCGATCAATGCCATTATACTACCACTACTCCCCTACCACGCGCCGACATCAAAGTTTTCCTAGTCAGATGGTGAGCAAAGTTGGATGTCCATGGAGTTGCTTGTAAGTTTCTTCTTACCTCTGGGAAGTAGGTCGCCACCACTGTCCTGTCGGCAAACTTGCGGCCAGCCAGAGCCTTGAGGGCATTCGTCGCCGAATCCTGTGTTTCAAACTTGACAAAGATCTTACCGACACCGGCTGACTGCCTGCTGCCGCCCGAGGGCCGCGGCACCTTAAGTTCGGAAATGGTTCCGAATTTGGTGCACTCTTCACGGACATCATCGCAGATTTCTGTTTTTGTGAGTGTCAGAAAGAGACATACATCTTCGTCCTTTTCACCGGCGCGGGTGATAACGTACCTTCGTACTCATCAGAGTCCATCAGTTCCTCCGCCGTCACCATGTTGAGGAGCTGGACAACGCGGGTCTGCTCAACCTCGTTGCTTGTCTGGGCTGCGAGTGTGCTGATTGCTGCGATTCCGACATCAAAGTTGGCCACCTGCGTGGGGCCGATGCTCGCCTTAGTAACCTTGAGCTTCTTGCCACCGACATCCATGCCGTTGAGCGTCTCGAGTGCAGGCGGATTGGCGGTAGTAGGGTCGAGGTATTCGGCAAATGCGATGCCCTGTTCCGGAAACATTCAGTCAGCATATCATTGTATTGTAGAGGAGGTAACAAAAGACCACCACTCACCCTCGACTCCTCAGTGCTCTTATCCTTGACGAGCACAAAGGCCTTGGGTCTGCCAAAGGCAGCCAGCAGCTCCGTGACCTGCTCTTCCGTGAGGAAGGTAGGAATGTTTGTAATGCTCAGCTTGTGGACAGTGTCGGGGACAACGTTGGAGACCACATCTGGGTCGTGGTGGGTCTGGCTGGGGAGGGCAGGCATGACGTAGTCTTTGGGGCGGCGGATCTGGAGGCCGCGCGAGGCGGCGTCGCCGTTGGCTGCAGCGGCGTCGTCTGACTCCTCCATGGAGATGCCATCGAGGGCGAAAGCGACGGTGGCATCGCCGGCCGTCTTGAACTCGAGTACGGCAAACGAGGCGTCCTTGGAGATCTGGCAGAGGGAGACGGGGTCCGGGCTCTCGATGACGTTGAGTCCGTTGAGCTGGAGGTTGAAGAATCCGGCGAGCGACTCCTCGGAAGTTTCAGCGGGGAAGTTGGAGATGATAAGGCGCTTGGCTTGGCGCGAATTGCTGGCGACGAGGCCGGAGCTCGAGGCCTGGCCCTCGGGCTTGTTGTAGACCTGCAGCCTGGAAGGGTCGACGGGTTGCTGGCGGGGCGCACCGGGCAAGGGGAACATGCCCGACAGCTTAGCTTGCTCGGCTGTCACGTAATCATAGCCCGGAGGCTTGATATCCCACTGCGTCATGCGGCGTTTGCGCTCCAGGATGGGCACCACGTCCGTCAGGTCTGGCGTGGGCTCACGCTTCTTGGGCGGTGGCGAGGCTGTGCGGCGGCTTTCCTGGTTCCTCCCGCCGCCATAGAGATCGTCACGGCGATCCCGGCCGCCCCCGCGACGCCGGTCGTCAAAGGCGTCCCTGTCTCGTCGGCCGTAGCGGTCCTCGTCGTCGCGTCGGGCGTCCCGGCGGGATGAGCCGCGGTCACGGTCCCACTCCCTCTCTGCCCGACGGTCGCGTCCAGAGGAGTATCGGTCCTCGCGTTCCCTGTCCCTGTGGGTTCGACTCGACGAGTACGCATCCGCATCTCCTTCACGTCGGTGGCTGCCGCGGTGGCCAGGCGACCTGGAGCGCCTCCGTTCGCGGTCTCGCGGTCGCTCACGACGTTCGTCACGATCACCTCCACGAGGCTGCAAAGCAAGAAAGGGAAAAAAGTCAGTGACGCCACAGTAGAATGCCAATTCTTGGCGATGGATCGAAGGGAGAACAAACAGGATAGTCGCGCCGTTCCCTCCTAGGGTCTGCTACAGATCGGAAAAGATGGTCAGTAAGAAAGAAATGAAGGGAAGAAAAGTGAATGGAGAGTATGGGAAGCGGGATTCAACAAACATACCACCTCGAGACGAGTAGCTGTCCCCGTTCATGGCTGATGCACTGGTATCGGAAGAGATAAAATATGCACAAGCGCTCAAACCTAGGCCGTTGGGATTGACGTGTCTTGGTATGAGGATGCGCCGTGGATTGATGAAACGACGAGGCTTCGTCCTTCTCGACGTTCTGCTGGAAGCGCGACGGATGGGAGCTTTTTCTGTCAGGATGCGCTAGTCCCGATTCGCTATCATCTATTGGTCCAAAGGGGAGCCGCTGACTAGTGGCTGAAAGTGTGGCCCAGCCTGTGTGGCTTCATCCCTGAAGCTCTGGCCTGGCTATTGAGCTTTGCGACGATTGCGACAACTCACTACGTTTCTCATGCATCAGAAAGAGACCTCACATCTCTCCGGGCATTTTATGTGTTTGTCTGCGGAGAGGAAATGACCATAAAGGCCGCGCCCGAGTGGCGGAAGCTGCCTGTGACGTTGAGTGAGCTGTGCATCGACACCACGCTGCGCTGCGGCCAGTCGTTCCGATGGCGCAAATTCGACGATGAATGGTCAGTCGCCTCTGCTTACCTGCAAGGATTCACTTTTCATCTGACTTGCTTACAGGCGCTGTACCTTATACGGCCGGATCCTTGCTCTGAGGCAGGATCCTACGCATCTACATTACAAGGTCACCTGGCCGGAGGCATCATCGCCTCTGTCGAGAAACGGAAAGGGGGACGATGACGACACAGAAGCCCTCCTGAGAAACTATTTCAGTCTCCGCGTGGATCTAGGAAGCCTCTATGAGCAGTGGTCCAAGGCTGATACCAACTTCCGCAAAAAGGCCCCCACGTTTACGGGGGTGCGCATCCTGAACCAGCCCGCCTGGGAGGCGCTGGTCGCCTTCATCTGCAGCAGCAACAACAACATAGCGCGGATCAGCCAGATGGTCCACAAGCTGTGCAGCCACTACGGCCCGCTGGTCGGGCGCGTCGACGATGAAGCCTACCACGACTTCCCTGCTCCCGCCGACCTGACAGGTAGCGGAGTCGAATCTCACCTGAGGGAGCTGGGCTTTGGCTATCGCGCAAAGTACATTGCCGAGACGGCGCGCATTGTGGCCGAAGAGAAGCCAAGCGACTGGCTCGAGACGATACGCAACCCGGCGGTCCCTGGATTTCGCACTGCCACTGCTGCAGAGAAGAAGGGAAAGAAGGGGGACCGTGTGGCTACGTACAAGGATGCCCAGGAGGAGCTACTCTCGCTCAAGGGCGTCGGGCCCAAGGTCTCGGACTGCGTGTGTCTCATGGGTCTTGGGTGGGGAGAGTCCGTTCCTGTCGACACCCACGTCTGGCAGATTGCTCAGCGCGACTACAAGTTTGGCAAGAAGTCCAAGACGTTCAACAAGGTCATGTACGACGCTGTCGGGGATCACTTCAGGGCTCTCTGGGGCGAGTATGCCGGATGGGCTCACTCGGTCCTCTTCACGGCAGACCTGAGGCAGTTCGCCGACCGGCCAGCTGTCAAGGAAGAAGTAAAAGACGAAGGGAAGGAGACGGTCGCCGTTCTGAAAACTGGCAAGGAGGAAGAAGATGTTGGCCAGGATACAAAAGCACCGTTGAGAAGGAAAAGGAAGAGAGGTGCTACGAATGAGATCAAGACAGAAATCAAGATCGAGGTCAAGGTCGAAGAGGATGTAAATGGCAATGTTGTCGGAGTAGAGAAGACGGTAAAACGAAGGAGGACACGCAATAGCATGAGGCTGTAGCCCCTCTCATTCAGCCACCTGTACATTACTGATATTGAACTTGGTTTGAAAACTAGAAGACGAAATGAGATGTTGGAATACGAGGGGCAAAGAAGGAGGAGGTTGATACTATTACTAAGCAATACTACGGAGTATTAATACTCGTAGCAGTAAAAGAGAAAAAAAGCCCGTAATAATAAATAAATAAATAAAGAATAAAAAGTAATACCTGTGTGATTGGTGGGTACGGCGCCTGAGGCTGAACGCGGGTAAACTCCGGGCATGGACTCACTGCAACGCGGGAGACTTTTCGCTGCCTGTGACAAGCTTCTCTCTTTCCCCCTGCCTCCCTCTCGGACGTCTGCCCTCTGCCCAACAATTCCATCATCGGCTGCTATCGATATCGTTGCCAACACTTGTTCTTCCCATGTGCAGCACCGACGGCGATACGCCCAACTGCGATTTGGATGCGGGATGAAGCTTGAAGACGACGGTTAAAAGCAAAACCGTAAGGGACGACATAGCAGGGAGAGAGAAGAGACGAAGAAAAAAAAAGTTTGGTTGCGCCGCGCGCAAAACACGCCATCACCACCACCCACCACCACCACCACCCATCACCACCCAACACAACAATGTCGGACGCCGATTTTGAGACCATCAAGAGGCTTCAGCAGGAGCGCAATGCTGCTGCTTCCCACAAGAACGGTCCCGTCGCCCCGGGCCAGCGCACCGACCCGACCAAGCAGAAGCTCACGGACAGCGCCGACAACGATCTCTACGAGCGTGACGGTGGCGACAAGTATTCCGGATACCACACTTCGCTCCCCATGGGTGACGATGGCGACGACGACGAAATGGATGACGCCGGCGACAGCACACGACGTCTGGTGGGGCAATACACGGCCTCACGCGACGTGATTGACGAGTTTGCCCGAGGCAGTGGCGTCGAGGAGGAGGACGTGCTGGCTGGCCGGGGTGAGAAGAGCGGACGTATCGCCGACCGCGAGACCGACTACCAGAAGCGTCGCTTCAACCGCGTCCTCACACCGACCAGGGCCGATGCCTTTGCCGAGAACCGTCAGGCTGGCGCGTCGGAGAATGGGGTCAGCTACCGAGAAATTATGGACTCGCGTGACCTCGAGCGCGAGGAGGAAAGAGTGCGCCGCGCCATCGAATCGAAGCAGAATGGCCGAGAGAATGGCGACGATGAGGCCATGCCGACCCTGCAGAACGGCGACAAGGAGAATGCCGAGGCGGGATCCACCGAGGCCGTTACTGCCGGCAGGAAGCGCAAGAAGCGCTGGGACGTCTCATCAACGACACCTGCCGACGACGAGGCCAAGGCTGCTACGGATGGAGCTGACGGTGCCAAACCCAAGAGATCGCGCTGGGACCAGGCCCCCTCTGTCGGGCCGGACGCTGGCAAGAAGAGGTCTCGCTGGGACCAGGCTCCGTCGGCGACGCCCATGGGTAACCAGGGCTTGGCCACGCCCGCGCCGCAGACGTCCCAGCTTCCGGCCGTGCCGCAAGCCTTTGGCAACGACATCTCCAGCCGCAATGCGGCCCTCAGTGACGATGAGCTCAACATGCTCCTGCCCGGCGAGGATGAGGGCTACAAGATCCTCGAGCCCCCGCCAGGCTACGAGCCGATCCGCGCGCCGGCCCACAAGCTCACGGCTACTCCGGCGCCCCAGACTGGCTTCATGATGCAGGACCCTGACCAGGTGCGGCTGGGCGGCAAGCCCATGCCCGCCGAGATCCCTGGAATTGGCGACCTGCAGTTCTTCAAGCCTGAGGACATGGCCTACTTTGGCAAGCTCACCGAGAGCTCGGATGAGAACGCACTCAGCGTGGAGGAGCTGAAGCAGCGCAAGATCATGCGGCTCCTCCTCAAGATCAAGAACGGGACGCCGCCCATGCGCAAGACGGCCCTGCGACAGATTACCGACAATGCCAGGCAGTTCGGCGCGGGCCCGCTGTTCGACCAGATCCTGCCGCTGCTCATGGAGAAGACGCTCGAGGACCAGGAGCGCCACCTGCTGGTCAAGGTCATCGACCGCATCCTCTACAAGCTCGACGACCTGGTGCGTCCCTACGTGCACAAGATCCTTGTTGTGATCGAGCCGCTGCTCATCGACCAAGACTACTACGCGCGCGTCGAGGGTCGCGAGATCATCTCCAACCTGAGTAAGGCGGCCGGCCTGGCGACCATGATCAGCACCATGAGGCCCGACATCGACCACGTGGACGAGTATGTGCGCAACACTACCGCCAGGGCGTTTGCCGTGGTGGCCTCGGCGCTGGGCATCCCGGCCCTGCTACCGTTCCTGCGGGCCGTGTGCCGAAGCAAGAAGTCGTGGCAGGCGCGCCACACGGGCGTCAAGATTGTGCAGCAGATCCCCATCCTGATGGGCTGCGCGGTTCTCCCGCACCTCAAGGGCCTGGTGGACTGCATCGGCCCCAACCTCAACGACGAGCAGACCAAGGTCAGGACGGTGACGAGCCTGGCGATCGCGGCGCTGGCCGAGGCGTCGAACCCGTACGGTATCGAGAGCTTCGACGAGATCCTGAACCCTCTGTGGACGGGAGCTCGCAAGCAGCGCGGCAAAGGCCTGGCCGGCTTCCTCAAGGCGGTAGGGTACATCATTCCGCTGATGGACGAGGAGTACGCCAACTACTACACGAGCCAGATCATGGAGATCCTGCTGCGCGAGTTCTCGTCGCCGGACGAGGAGATGAAGAAGGTCGTGCTCAAGGTGGTGTCGCAGTGCGCGGGCACCGAGGGCGTGACGGCGGGCTACCTCAAGGAGCACGTGCTGGACGACTTCTTCAAGAGCTTCTGGGTGCGGCGGATGGCGCTGGACAAGCGCAACTACCGGCAGGTGGTGGAGACGACGGTGGACGTCGGACAGAAGGTGGGGGTGGGGGAGATTGTGGAGCGGGTGGTCAACAACCTCAAGGACGAGAGTGAGGCGTACCGTAAGATGACGGTGGAGACGGTGGAGAAGATCGTGACGAGCCTGGGAGCGGCCGACATCGGCGAGCGGCTGGAGGAGCGGCTCATCGACGGCATCCTGCACGCGTTCCAGGAGCAGACGGTGGAGGACGTGGTGATGCTGAACGGGTTCGGGTCGGTGGTGAACGCGTTGGGGACGCGGTGCAAGCCGTACCTGCCGCAGATAGTCAGCACGATCCTGTGGCGGCTCAACAACAAGTCGGCGACGGTGCGGCAGCAGGCGGCCGACCTGATCTCGCGCATCGCCATGGTGATGAAGCAGTGCGGCGAGGACGCGCTGATGGGCAAGCTGGGCGTGGTGCTGTACGAGTACCTGGGCGAGGAGTACCCGGAGGTGCTGGGGTCGATCCTGGGGGCTCTGCGGTCGATCGTGACGGTGGTGGGCATCTCGCAGATGCAGCCCCCGATCCGCGACCTGCTCCCGCGGCTGACGCCGATCCTGCGCAACCGGCACGAGAAGGTGCAGGAGAACACGATCGACCTGGTGGGGCGGATCGCGGACCGCGGGCCGGAGAGCGTCAACGCGCGCGAGTGGATGCGGATCTGCTTCGAGCTGCTCGACATGCTCAAGGCGCATAAGAAGGGCATCAGGCGGGCGGCCAACAACACGTTCGGCTTCATCGCCAAGGCCATCGGGCCGCAGGATGTGCTGGCGACGCTGCTCAACAACCTGCGGGTGCAGGAGCGGCAGTCGCGCGTCAACACGGCGGTGGCGATCGGCATCGTGGCGGAGACGTGCGCGCCCTTCACGGTGCTGCCGGCGCTGATGAACGAGTACCGGGTGCCGGAGCTCAACGTGCAGAACGGCGTGCTCAAGTCGCTCTCGTTCCTGTTCGAGTACATCGGCGAGATGGCCAAGGACTACGTGTACGCGGTGACGCCGCTGCTGGAGGACGCGCTGACGGACCGAGACCAGGTGCACCGGCAGACGGCGGCGTCGGTGGTCAAGCACATCGCGCTGGGCGTGGTCGGGCTCGGGTGCGAGGACGCCATGGTGCACCTGCTCAACCTGCTGTACCCGAACCTGTTCGAGACGAGCCCGCACGTCATCGACCGGATCGTCGAGGCCATAGAGGCCATCCGCATGGCCGTCGGGCCGGGCGTGGTGATGAACTACGTCTGGGCCGGGCTCTTCCACCCGGCCAGGAAGGTGAGGACGCCGTACTGGCGCCTGTACAACGACGCCTACGTCCAGGGTGCCGACGCCATGGTTCCTTATTATCCCAACTTGGAGGAGGACAAGATAGACAGGCCAGAGTTGGCGATTATTCTGTAATTTCTGTTACCGAGACGGGTCTTTTTTTTTTTCTTCCTTTTCTTGCTCTTTTTTTCTATTTTTTTTCTATTTTTTTTAGCCATGAGCTGGGGGAGTGAGGAAGAAGCGTATAATAAGTTTTTTTTATTTATTTATTTCTTTTCTATTGTTTTTCTTTGGAGGATGAGGAAAGGGAGGTTTGTATCGAGTACATGGGAGTCTGGTAGTTGAAGAGGAGAGAAAAATACAAATATATATATATATATATATACATATATGTATATACGAAAAATCATCACCAAATGAACTAGTTAGTCAGGGGTATGATGTGATGCTAAAGTAGACCTCTAGATCAAATGACAGAAAGAGGAGATGTATATGCTACCGACTCGGTTCGATCGTTTGTAGGGTTTGCAAAGTTTTTCTTGTCAAGGTGATTTTTTTGCTTTTCACCCAGTTGGGATAAGAGGGGGTGATGACGGTGGAGGGGAGGAGGATGGCAGAGGCTAGAAGACGAGCTCTCTGGCTTTGGCTTCTTCTTCTTCTTCTTCTTCTTCTTCTTCTTCTTCTTCTTCTTCTTCTTCTTCTTCTTCTTCTTCTTCTTCTTCTTCTTCTTAT